ATTATATGACGAATATTCCCAATTCTCAATTGAAGATGTCTGTTTTCAAGAAAACTCCGTGAATTGCTTACATTCTTAAAACCATCACAACTCACGCTACTCTCATGCTAACGACATGATCTTAGTGGCAGTGTGTAATTAACATTCACAGAAATCCAGTGATACATGTTGACCCTTATATTTACCCTAATAGATGCACCAAGCGATATCTTTTTAGCAAAATAGATATTCGGCACCAGGGAGACGTCACTCCCCATACAAATTTTTGGTGTGCGCGACGCAGCATACTGCTCATACTTATAGTCCGGGGTCTTTGATGGGAGCTATGTGATAATTACAGGGCGTGGTGGTGTTTCTTCATTGGTGTCAGGCTATTGTTTCACATTTTTGGTCATCTCGAAAGCTAAAAGTGGCCTTTGTAGTTGAATTGTTGTTTTGTGGAGTGCTCTACCTGGACCGTGGAGATCATCAGTTATCTAACAACTATATGTAGATGCAGATGAGATTATTGCAAGTTTAGCAGATTCCCAAATGGCAATAGCACCTTCTTTGAGAATGGGTTAGTGTGTTTCAATGGTGGTCCTAGAGCTGAAAGATCTGAACTTCATTGTTACAGGTGTACATAAGAGAATGCAAAAGATGCTTTTCTCTATGTGATCAGCTTTGACTTTAATTGCGTTTACTTGACTTCTACTTCACCAGAGGGTGTTACGGTCTATGGTGAGATATTAGAGAATAGGATTTCCTGCTGGCAACGATTAAGTAACACATTAAAGGACCTCTTCATGTGCTTGGGTCATCTGCGTTTTGAGTTTGAAACGTAGTGAACGCATATGTGCACGTTATGGAGATGTGCTATTTGGGGTTCAGCTTATAGTTCTCAAAAGATTGTGACATCACAATGTATTATACAATCAACAACCAAAAGGTTTTTGATACACTTCTCTTGCACTTCAAGTGCCGGCTAAACGTTAGTAGTAATAAGAAATAATGACAGTGAGATGATACCTAAGCAATGTGGTGTGAGACATACAAGATAACAGGTTTGTTCGTGAGAACTTAGGAAAGGAGGAAATACGATGGTCCAAAGACTTCTATTCAAACCATAGTGTAAACACTCAAACTGTGATAGTTCATATTCCAGGTTGCTTCGATAAGATATGAAAAAAAGGGGAATAAACTATTGTTCTGCCATAGTTTACAATTCGATTAATTCGGTAATAAATCCAAAACTCAGATCCGAAGTTCGAATAACACAGAGATCGCATGCACAAGCCACTGTGTTTGAGAATCTGATACCCAGATTCCACGAAGAAGGGTTGAAATGGCTTGTAATTGGACTAAGCGATAAGGGTTCCAACACATGCCACATCTGTGGATTTAGAGACGCTGGTTCGTAGTGCACGAAAGTGTTCAATACACTTATCCACATTTGCTTGCGTAGAGACTTTAATCCCTCCAGGGATATAGAATGGCGCAAATTCTGGGATTGACCCAATTAGTCATCCACAGTGATAAGCGCAATGGAGATCAACGAGGAAGCCTTGTTGTATAATCAAACTTTACAAACAAGTCTCTAGAAAGAGAATCAGATTATGCTTTTTGCTTATCACCAGATTACGGGAGGTACAGTGAAAGTTCAGACGGAAGATAAACCTCAAACCACTGATAGAAGTGTTGGTGTTTCGAAGAGTAGAATTTGTGATAATGAACTCTCTTATAAATCCAATGATCTCTGACCATATACCAAAGTCAGATACCACTGGCGTGAAATGGCTATTGAGTTTCAGACCCTTAATGATATAGTCGTTCATTGCCGTCTTACTCTTTACAAAGGCTTAGTTTCAAGGAATTTCTGCACATTTGGATTGACATTACCAGTAATATTCATCAAAAACAATAGTCACTTATTCATAAAACCAAATTCTCCTTCACAGAATACCAACTTTGAGGAGAGACTCTACTTAAACAACCCTGGGTGTCTTTGTAATGAAAACACCCAATAAAACAAGTGCACAGTCAATGGGAAAAAGTACTTTCACATCTTTTGCTTCATTAATCGAGTTCTGTGGGCATTTTGAAATAGCTGAAATGGTCTACGACGTTTGTATTCTGTCTTACTTCAAATTTCCTAAAAGATACCTAAATACTAATTGTGGGTACTAATTAGGGTTAGTATGCTATAAAAGTGTTTTTGTCTTTTGCAATGTGTAAAGCCTTTTCAAAGGTCTCTTGTGATTGGCCCTTGAACCAACGGTAGTGATAGAAAGGATGATCCTCTGAGAGGAAACTTGCACCCTTAGCACCCGTTAGATTCTCCCTGAGGGTACCCCCAATGGTAGTGTATTCCACCTGTGCAACACCTCTGGCTTGTAACTCAGAGATCAAGTAATCATTTAAATCATTGATGTTAGATTCATGAAAGTTGAAACCATCGAGCCCACTGTACTCAACCCAATGTTGTAATTCATCAGCTACGGTCTTAGAAGTTCCTTTAATTGAGGTGAAGCCAAAAGGTGGGGCATCACCAAGTGCATACTTGTTTTGAACATCCACAATTGAGTCAGCAATTGTGATAGATACTTGGGCTAAGAAACGAATGGTGGATGGATCTCTATGATAATTTCTTAGTGCTAAATGTTTAAGACCCTTGACAGTTTCCTTAACCTGTTCTTTATCCCCATATACCGACACTACTTCAGCGAACTTTGCAGCATGGTGTCTTGAAGCGTTTGTAGTTGTATCCAATGAAACTATCAATGGAAGTCTCTGTGGAGTGGGGTGTGTTAAACCAGGACCTGGAACCGTGTATGTTTCTCCAACAAAATCAATTTGACGTAATCTGTCGGTATTTATCCATTCCTTAGTTTCTTTGTTTCCCACTAGAGCATCGTCTCTCCAAGATGATAGAAGCAATTCAGAAAAAACCTCGAGATACTCCTCAGAGTACTGAAGCTCTTCTGTATTGGCCCATCCGAGTCTGCCTCTGGTTAAGTGATCCAAAGATGCAAATTTTCTGGCTTGTAGGTATGGATGTTCTCCTTTGGTGTTATAAGCGATTGTCAGCCCAATTGATTCTGTAACAGCTCCAATAGATGCTGTGTATACAGAAGGCTCAGCAACATCATCCACTAAGATTACTGAGTGTAGTTTGGCCTTCTCTGCCCTTTGTGCAAAACTTTTCCAATGCTCTGGTGATGGATGGTTCAGTTTGGCAGTAGCTGTAAGGGTCCATTGCTTCTTGTGATGTCTTTTTGTCATTGTGATGATGTGCTTGAAAATATAGGGGGGACGAGGTTGTGATTCTGAGGAGAAGAGCGAGTTATATAATGGGCTCCAAAGGGTAGAAGTACCACTATTGGCCATTCTCAAGAGTATGGTCGGTATGGAGGTAAACATACATCTGTAGCTATTAGCGCAAAGCGGACTTTAAGTGTGGCACATCTCCGCATACATCTCCGTTTCTGTCTAATAAGCCCTACCTGTGGTTGATTGTAGATCTCACACGTATACAGCCCACCGATATCCACATATAAAGGTCACCGATATCCACAAGTCAAGATTTTCTACTCGATGCTGTGAGACTAAGAATGGCTCGAGATCTCATCCTCAACGTGTTCATACACGCATCTCCGGCCCTTACCTCTGGTGAATGGAGTCACCCGTTGGACGAGTCTAAGGGCTTTGACACTATCGAATACTGGCAAGAACTTGCCAGGATTGCAGAGAGAGGGAAGTTCAATGCGGTGTTTTTTGCAGACTATCTGGCTTACTATGATGTGTACAAAGGGCCAAACAATTGGAAGCTTCCTGCATCTGGGGGATACTTCATCCCAAAGATAGATCCAGGAGTGCTGGTTTCCGCTATGGCTGAGGCCACCACGACCCTGGGCTTTGGAATAACATTCTCCACTGTTAAGGAAAACCCAGAGTTATTTGCCAAACGTCTTTGGAGTTTAGACCATGCAACTAAAGGGCGAGTCGGCTGGAACATTGTAACGTCGTATGCACCGGCTGTTGGACGTCAATTGTTAAACGGTGGGAAATTACCCTCGCATCAAGAGCGGTATGATAATGCTACAGCCTATGTTGATACTGTGGTTCGTTCAATTGTTGGACAAAGACACTCCAAATGGCCACAGTCCCCACAAAGGTTACCATTTTTGATTCAAGCTGGTACAAGCTCCCAAGGGAAGTTCTTGGGAATTGAAAATGCAGAAGCCATATTCATTAACGCATGGGACCGTGCCAAGGCGAACGCTGATATCAAATCAATAAGAGACCTTGCAGTTCACTATGGAAGAGATCCAAAAGATGTGAAGATCTTGACAATGGCAACTCCGGTGGTAGCCATTACAAAGGAGGACGCTGAGAAGAAAGTTGAACTGATTAGACAACATGTATTCCAGGATGCACCAGGTATTGGATTTGGAGGCCAATCACACATCGACTTGGATCAGTTTGAATGGGATGAACCAATTGT